TCTTCCATGGTTAAGGATGTGGCTGACTGCTGAAACAAAGGTACTACCTCTTCTACTACACCCTACACCCCAAACACTATATACATAGACCTACCACGCTACTATACCATTATGTAGGTTGACCACAGCTCTGTAATTTTGATCCGAAGTCCCAAAATAAGGTAAAACGAAGGTATTTAGTGATTCAGAAATTCATAAATCAGATTCTGCATGGTATAAAATGTATGATTTGGCACCAGAATCTTCCATATTGGCAAAGTATGTGCATATTTATTGCAAAAAGTAAGATTTCGGTATTGATTATGGCCGCCATCTTGAAAAAATGGCAGCCATCTTGAATTTCAGATGGCCAGCGTATTTTTTCAAACAAGTAACCCACAATGAGTATTTGTGCCAAGTTTGGTGCTTGTATCACATTTTGAACGATTCACCTGAAAAAGGTCATTTATCTGCTGCACTATTGTAGGAAAAAAAATCGAGATAAGCGGCTAATGAAGAAGAATCTATTTAACCTGATTTCCAATGTAGGTGATTTTTGCTTTTTAAAAAACAAGACGTCATCAACATATCTAAAAGTGAAACCTAGAGTTTTGCAAGGTCTTAGTGGCCTATTTTTTTCATCGCTCTCTCAACTCCTGGAACTTGTCATGTCATTATTAAATGTTTCATGTACGGCATTCTATGGAGAAGACCAAAAGACTACTTTGATTTTTTGATGTACATCAAAAGACTCTCGAGGTCACATAATGGTATATTGTAACGACTTTGAAGTTAGGTGTCGCTCCTTTGTAATCTTCAAAAGGAGAGTATCTGTCTGTGAATCGATATGCTCCAGGGATAAAGCGAGAAAAAGTAGTCGTAACACCTGGAGCATTGAGGATGTATTTTGATAAGGTCTAGGATTAAGTCAGCCTCGTATAAAACAAAAGCCATGAAGTCAACAGAACAACACAGTTCCCATAGATATACTGATACTGAAGGTCTAACCATCAAACGCGACGAAGATATTGCCAAACAGTCACGCGATCAATTTCATGAGTAAACTATTTGTAAGGAGAACGCAGAGGATATTACAGAAGTCGTGATTTGTACTTTTCACAAGGTTATGTTAAATACAAAAAATGTTCACATCGATAATATCATAATACAATATCGATCTGTGTGACAACTTGTGCATGTAGTTATAAAATACGATAATTTGTACGGTTGACAGTTTTACGTTAACATTTTTGTCGAATGAGGGATTGTATACAAAACCATACTGCAAACACAGAGTAATATGGCAACGCCAAACCACAATGGAAGTTTCAACAAGAACAACGAGTATTAGATCAGAAGTCCCTGGGTACTTTTCTTCTTTACTAACGACAATGGACATGTAGGTTCAGAATCGAAGTTTGTGTCAATCTGTACATTTACTATGACATGTCAATACCGTTTTTTAAGAAAGCTGGGAGGTTACTATCAATACAGAGAATATGGCATCCGTACTCTCGTCATATATCTTCCTAAAACTCTGTACTTATATAATAATAGCTAAATAAAATGTGACAGAGATTAGAATGTCAAAGCAGATTTAAAACTCATTAGGATGAATGTAATGATGATCAATACTGAATGATTTCATTCCTTATGACGCTTTCATGTTTTGCATCATTAACATAATGCAGATAACAAATAATAACAGCGCATCTCATTATACCAGCTGGTTTTACATCCTCATTTTCCAGGATCGTTCCATCTTCAATCCCTTTTGTTGTCTCTATCTTAAAATTACATATGGAAACAGAGGTGTACTTAAATGCAAAATGCAGTGTAAAGGAAACAAACAAAAGAGATATTGTGGTAATGAGTTTTACCTATTTTGTCAGCAGAGGAAAAAAGGCCATTAATCTCTGCCACTCCGTGACATGACAAGCTGTATTGAATGGAGCACCAGCTGTTTCCTCCGTGATATTTCGTGGTAATGTTAAATCTATATCTTGTCTTAGACTTTAAAGAACTGGTCTAATATAACCTTAGATTAGATATTACCTTAATTCAACATAAAAATGTTAGATGAAACACTGACATCGAAACAATCGTGAATTTGACCTAAATTTATCATACCGATAAATAACCAATTGTCAATCCAACCAGGTATACGTGTCATGCTTGGTACGTATACAAATCATCCTAAAAACAGTGTATCTGAAATAATGACTACATCTATAATATAACTTGAAATAATGACTACATCTATAACATAACGTGTATCTGAAATAATGACTACATCTATAATGTAACGTGTATCTGAAATAATGACTACATCTATAATGTAACGTATATCTGAAATAATGACTACATCTATAATGTAACGTGTATCTGAAATAATGACTACGTCTATAATGTAACGTGTATCTGAAATAATGACTACATCTATAATGTAACGTGTATCTGAAATAATGACTACGTCTACAATATAACGTGTATCTGAAATAATGACTACATCTATAATGTAACGTGTATCTGAAATAATGACTACGTCTATAATGTAACGTGTATCTGAAATAATGACTACATCTATAATGTGACGTGTATCTGAAATAATGACTACGTCTACAATATAACGTGTATCTGAAATAATGACTACATCAATAATGTGACGTGTATCTGAAATAATGACTACGTCTATAATGTAACGTGTATCTGAAATAATGACTACATCTATAATGTAACGTGTATCTGAAATAATGACTACATCTATAATGTAACGTGTATCTGAAATGATGACTACATCTACAATATAACGTGTATCTGAAATAATGACTACATCTATAATGTAACGTGTATCTGAAATAATGACTACATCTATAATGTAACTTTATCTGAAATAATGACTACATCTATAATGTAACTTTATCTGAAATGATGACTACGTCTATAATGTAACTTTATCTGAAATGATGACTACGTCTACAATATAACGTGTATCTGAAATAATGACTACATTTATAATATAACGTGTATCTGAAATAATGACTACATCTATAATGTAACTTTATCTGAAATAATGACTACATCTATAATGTAACTTTATCTGAAATGATGACTACGTCTATAATGTAACTTTATCTGAAATGATGACTACGTCTACAATATAACGTGTATCTGAAATAATGACTACATTTATAATATAACGTGTATCTGAAATAATGACTACATCTATAATGTAACTTTATCTGAAATAATGACTACATCTATAATGTAACTTTATCTGAAATGATGACTACGTCTATAATGTAACTTTATCTGAAATGATGACTACGTCTACAATATAACGTGTATCTGAAATAATGACTACATCTATAATGTAACGTGTATCTGAAATAATGACTACATCTATAATGTAACGTGTATCTGAAATAATGACTACATCTATAATGTAACTTTATCTGAAATAATGACTACATCTACAATATAACGTGTATCTGAAATAATGACTACGTCTATAATGTAACGTGTATCTGAAATAATGACTACATCTACAATATAACGTGTATCTGAAATAATGACTACATCTATAATGTAACTTTATCTGAAATAATGACTACATCTATAATGTAACTTTATCTGAAATGATGACTACGTCTATAATGTAACGTGTATCTGAAATGATGACTACATCTACAATATAACGTGTATCTGAAATAATGACTACATCTATAATGTAACTTTATCTGAAATGATCACTACGTCTATAATATAACGTGTATCTGAAATAATGACTACGTCTATAATGTAACGTGTATCTGAAATAATAACTACATCTATAATATAACCTGTATCTGAAATAATGACTACATCTTTAATATAACTTTATCTGAAATGATGACTACGTCTATAATGTAACGTGTATCTGAAATAATGACTACGTCTATAATATAACGTGTATCTGAAATAATGACTACATCTATAATATAACTTGAAATAATGACTACATCTATAATATAACGTGTATCTGAAATAATGACTACATCTATAATATAACCTGTATCTGAAATAATGACTACATTTATAATATAACGTGTATCTGAAATAATGACTACATCTACAATATAACGTGTATCTGAAATGATGACATGTATCTCAAAAAAAAAAAAAATTTAGAAAATACCTACATGGCATTATCATCATAATTCAAACTCGAATTCAATCACACCTGGGCAAAATATGAACAAGAAAAATTTACACAGAGACTCCTGACAGAGCACAAGGGGAATAAGACCATGTGTGCCGAAAGAGGAAACGGCTTCTGCTTCATCGACGACACCCGCCATGTAAACCTTGGTCAATGCAAGTTAGTAATGTCATGTTCTCAAATGAAAACAAGGTATACAACAACGGAACCAACAGGCAAACTAACGAGCATCAAAAACGTCCAGCTTCAGGTCACATAAAGAAATAAAACAATTCTCAAAAAGATCACTATGGCGACCATACAACTATTCCATAATTTTCATCAACCTACATCTTTTGAACCCTAGTGTTATGAGTTTGTCAGTTGACGAATTCTTGCACGAGACTCGTAAAAATTGGAACAGGTCCTTGAATATCGAATCAAGTGTCATAAGTAAATACCATAGGTTGGAGTTGTAGATGGAAAATTCACAATAGGGGAATTCAGTTTTATCGTGTCCATCGTTCATGGATGACATACAATTATGACTAAATCTAAATAACAACAGAAAAAAATTTGCAAGGAACCATAACATTAAGCTCTACACGTAATCACATTCTGGTTTGTATAGGAGTAAAGTTATTTATTGCTTAAATATGTAATGTGTTTCCTTATTCTTTGAATAATATAAAACAAACAAATGTAGTACTTATGATTTCCTTAAACATATTTATATCAATGGAAAATGAACAAATCAAGTTGAAACAAAGAGTGCAATTGTCATTGTCATCGAGTCTGATAAAAATTGACTCAGTTTGTATTTTTATTCTAAGTTATAGAACTAGGCATTCATTCGTTCAATCTGGAGCTTTCGTCGTGCTCTCAGTTGATTGAAAAAGGGCATTTCCCTGATATATACATGGCTACAATGCTCTTTTCTCACCACAAAAGGTTTATTCCATTTGCTACCTTCAAATGAAATTTCAGCTGGTCCACCGTGCATGGATGATATACAATAGTTATCGTACTTAGTTCTGGTTCTTCTGAAGTAATCTAGTTCTTCAAAGAAATCAGATGGCTGTTGATTTAGTTTATTTTTAAGTTTGTTCAGGAAAAAATTGTATAATTCGTAGTCGATATGTGCCCAGTTTTTATACAATGTTTCTTCTTCCGGTCCAATTTCCAATCGAGGGTCTTTCTTTCGCTTAGAATTGAGTTTACCATATAAAACATACTTTAGATCCCAGTTAAGGAGTCGCCTCATCAAAACAATAGATTCGTCAAAGTATTCCGTGATAATAACTAAGTCCATTTCCTTGTCCAATTTGAGTAAATGCTGATGAATGTTGGTAAAATTTTTTGACCAAAATAAAGCGTCTGGAAATCCAAAGTCAAATGCCATTCTATTGTACGTAGTTGGAATGTTGCCCCCGAACGTCATATATTTATCATTGTGTAAGAGATACTCCAATACAGGTCTGTTTCCTGGGATCTTTAATACAGACCTTTGACGGTAATACTGTAAATTAGACTGAAAATGACGGAATGGCTCTCTTACTACTCCTATATATTTTGTATCATTCGGCATGATTTTACTGAATGCTTCTCTGTTATATCTGACATGAGAACATATAATATCATAAGGTCTATTCGGTGGCGGTGGAAGGATCATATCCGACCTCACGGTTTGTTGTACACTAATGGTCGAACCTGCTCTTGGCAAAGCAAACACAAGATCATTTTCGTATCCGTAACGTAGAAAGATATTCTGAACAGTTGTACTAGCGGCTTTATGTACCTTTACGAATGCAATATGTTGGACAGGGTTGGATTTCAAGTCCTGGATAGGGTTGATTTTCGAATCATTGGTATGATCAACATCCATCAATGAATTATGTATCATCGATCTAGAGAGGTTTTTCTGTGGGGTGGAATACTGTTCTGGTTTTGTATACAATCTTTGATAAGACAACGGTAATGGCTGCACGTGAAAATTAGTATTTACTGTAGAAACGAATTTTCGCATAGGAGAATGAATAAAGGAAACGACACCATCAAAATAACTTCCGGTATTGACCAAAACTATCGTCGCCAAACAGCTTAGTCCAAACATCATCCTGTAAAATGATAGAACACACCATTTCAAGAAATGCATTTGATAACTTTTCCATTAAAACTCTATTTTAACGACATCAAATGCCAAACCAGAATTGACAGAGAAATTCGTCAGGTGAAACAACCTTTTTCACGGTAAGAGGCATCTGCTTCTCTTCGTACAAAAGTAATCCTAAAATAAACCCAAAATTACTGATATTAGGACAAAGATGAACAAAACAAAGACTTACATGGAGATTCCAGAAACGAAATAAAGAGAGTAACACCAGATGTTACGGAAAAGTTAGCGTCTTATCGTTTACCAAGGACATCCGCCTTGTAAAGTTTGGTCAGTCTAAGATTCTGATGTCATGTTATTAATAACGTGGCAAGATTTGAACACAAGAAAAGCATACACGGAGACTGCTTATTCCAGAAGAACTGAAATTTAATAATTTTCGTAATTCTCATATATAAGAAAGGTTTAGACCAATGTTAATTGAATTAAAACTTGGATTGCAGGTTATGGAAAAGTTATTTCTTTCAAGAACTCCTTAGTGGCACTAAAGGATTTTATTGTAAATAACTAGAAGGTGCGTGTTGAAAATCCAAACAGGCAAAATGAAATATGACAAACCAGATATAGAACTGCACAAAGGGTAAACATATAAGTATTTGCGGAAGGAAAAGAACGATATATGCATGGGTATATTCTAAATCGAGCAGTTATGCGAGTAAATTAAATCGAGCTGAAAGCCTAATTAGTAAACCGATATCGGAGTTCTTCACTATTCACCAACACTTCAATACTGGGCATGTTAAATCATTTTAATGAACGTAACGAAAATCTAACGTATCTGTAATAGTGTAATAAAGGCTACATTTGTTTTCTCTAATTATCGATTCATACACCAGAAAGATTAAGTATGGACAATTTTGTTCATATTCACCAATGTTCTCACAAGCAGATACATAATTTTGAGCATACTTTGACAAAAAATATGATGTCGACAATTGTGGTACAAAATACAAATATAAGATGTATCAAGCCAAGTAATATGTGTCTTAATGTTTCAATAACTATCGAAAGTATCAATAACGTCACAAAAATGATATATATCTGTAACGTCACAAAAATGACATATATATCAGTAGCGTCACAAAAATGATATATATCAGTAACGTCACAAAAATGATATATATATTAGTAACGTCACAAAAATGATATATATCAGTAACGTCACAAAAATTATATATATTAATATGTAAATGATGACATTACTTACCACAGTATTTTCTTTTTTTGCATCGTTGTCTCCAAAACCATTCCAATTATTAAATGCAAACCTACTCGAGGATCACGTGACTGAGTAACTGTACCACATGTTTCAAGTAATCCACTGTATATACATTACATTTCATGCTGTGCGAACCAGATGTGTCTCATAAAAACATATTATTGATCCAAAACAAAAAAAGTCGAAACTTCAAGTAATCCGATTACAGAAACTGCTTAGCTTCGTCAACCTAGACAAGTAGTCAACAACATTACACGGAACAGTTACCGCGTTACGCTTCATGCCACAGCAATAAAGATAAATCATTCATATTATATGAATATTACTGACAGCAATTTTATATACATGACGGAGAATATCGAAAGAAAGAGAGCCGCAGCCAAATTGGATAGATAAATCCTGATATTATCTTGTGTTGAACAAGACAAATTTTAACATTTCCGTTGTAAGAAGACTACAGGAGGAGAGGTTTAGTTAACTAAATGCTCAAAAGAAAAACACTGATGCTAACATCCAGACTGAACTACAGGATATATTTAACTAACATTATATGATATCATTCTGTGTATCGTTTTCCCTTCATGTGGAGAGTCCTGTGAAATAACCTGAATTTGAGTTACATTAATTACGAAACAACTCCGTCGATATTTATCACAATATCTAGTGAAAGGATATTGATATCAGATATAGTCGTTTGCCATGGCTACATCCAGCTCCATTTAAGACGTATACTTTTCGGAAAATTTTCATGACTATCATTATCTATCTTTGTAAAAGTGCTTTAATTGCATGTTTTTTTTTCTATGATTAAGTTTGGTTACAAGTGACGAGCAAGCTATAATGTGTGTGTATGTGAATCCTTCGAATCAGGTCATCTGTATCAGTGTAGAGTGCTTGAGATGTACCCACTTCGAGACATATGAGCGGGTTTATTCAATGCAACATTTGGCTTCCTGAGAAGTTAATCAATCAACCAGGAGAAAATCCGATTTTGTGAAGTGGTAGACCGTTATTAACCATAGCATTTGTTCATGTGGGATAGATGTCATTTTATTATTGTGGAGGTGTTTAAGACTGACGATACCGCCCAACATACTTTACATATGGACTGATATATAAAATATAGAATATATATAGAATGATGATGAATATTGATCCATTGGTCCGATTCAATATAAGCATTTAAGTTAAATTAGAAAGTGAACATTAATCAAAATACCAAGCTAAATTTAGAAAATGACATATTTTGGTCGCCTATGAATATTTATAGTATGGTAATGATTATGAAAACCTGTGATGATCTCGTGTTATGTGCTTGATCTCGATTTAAACATATAAGTAATGGTTGCCTCAAAATCACCTCATCATTGATGTTTAGAACAACCAAATCATACATGTTTCAGTCGTACGTGACACGGGCCTGAACGAAAACCCAGGATGTGACTAAGAACATTCAAATACTGTAAACATTAACATCTTAGAGATAATATTATTCTATCGTTTTTCGTCCTCATGATATCGCCCTAAGGTATGACTGCGCCAATTGCATCTTATGTGAATTGTAAATGCAGTAATTCTGATTTGTTTATGATTGGTATTCTAAAATTTGATTGTGACAAAATAAGAAAGTTTACACTAGGTTGTAACAAAGATGCACTAATTTCCAAATTTCAACAAATTTCCATATTGAAAGTACATAGAAATGTATGTGTATTCTGAACAATGCCATGATTCGACTAAGTCCCACAACGGCTTGCATGTCACAGAAAAATGCGCGGGCTAAATGTCCACCAGCTATTTCTACCACATGTAATCTCGAAGACAAGCATCTTTCAATAAATAAAAACACAGATACAGAAAAGTCATGAAACGAATCAAAACAATTGTTTCGGTCTTCAATGAAGCTGAGGTTCTAAGCTGTTAAAAGCTGACGTTGACATTCCGCCTGACGGAATCATCAAAGATGTCGATGTAATCCGCTAACATAAACGTATGTCGATATATTGCTAGTCGATTTCTGTCACAGACCTTCTCAATACATACTAGATCTAATAACATAGTGGAATTGTTCATTATCAATTTCAATTCATATACATGTTCAGGCAATACTTAAAAAAAACAGAAAAGAAAGAAAAACATGTCAACATTATCATGATCCAAACTCAAATTAGAAAAGACTAAGTGTACCGAAAGAGAACATGACACCAGCCATGTAAATGTCGGTCGATCCAATTAAATGATTTCAGGTTTTCAAATGAGAGCAGAGTATATAGCAACGGAACCAACAAGCAAACTAACGACCATGAAACACGTCCAACATCATTTCGCACAAAAAAAAAAATTCTCAATGAAATCACTATAAAGACATAATTTTCATCAACCTGCATAATTTGAGACTATGTATGACCGTCAGTTGATGACATCTTGCACAACAATCGTGATATTGGGAACAAACATGCAGCATGTTAACTCCATATGTTGGAACGCAAAGATAAGATATTGCTATTCTGTTATGGAAAACTCACATATAGGAACAGCATGGTAGAGAGTTGTCAATGAGTCGGTATACAAAGGGCTAATATACAGCAATCTGTCCTTGATTTCCACCTCTGGTGTTTTTATACGATGGACGTGATTAAAAACGTATTATTATTACTTTTTTTTTACATTCTTTTTATTCAGTGATAAACAAACAGATACAGAAATATCCTCTCGCAGGAGGGCTCACATTCTTCACTCGCCTTTCACATAACCATTCATCCTAAATACATGTAGCTGTATTCTGACATATAGCTATTTGTTTACAGTAGATAAATTAGATATCACATTCATTCCAACAAAGAATTTCGATTTGTTTATAAGTATATAAACATATTAAAATATTAAGACAATAAAAAGACGTATTAAATATTCATAACTATTTGTTGTATGCGCGTCGCTTGAGTCGAACGCGCCCACGATTATTCCATGCACTAGTATAGGCGCCAACGGTACTTTAACCGGAGCACATGGCTGCATAACGCTGAGCATTTACTGCTTGACATGGTAAGTCTAGACATTTATTTTGTTTCCAAAACCTCAGTTTATTTGTTAGGGTATTTTTAGTCTATTGAATTCGTTTTTTGTTTATCGTGGCATGATATTTCTGAAGCTCAATTACAGGTAGATCTATATACATTAACAGAAACAGAGTAGCAGGCCTAAGTTTGGTTGAAGCCCGCTTTCTTGCAAATTAGATAATAAGTTATGACTGTCTTATGTAATTTATAGTAATTACAGTGTATTAATTAGTATTAGGTAAAGTAATATTTAATATCAAATGACTTTGTTTCAGGCAGGCTTAACGGTTTGAGGAAGCTATTTTTATTATTATTATTATTATTATTATTATTACTACTACATTGTATTCAACTGGCAGCAGCTGAATTGTTGCTAAATTGACCTGAACGCCAATTACGAGTTAGAGATTAAACGATCAATATTTAGAAATATA